TATAAATTTATAGTCGAGAAATAGGTCTGTGGGAAACACCCTAGTAAAATAATAATAATGATAAAAGGACCACTAAACTACAAGTTCGCTATAATGGCCATTAACACCACCAGTTACTAAACAATCAGCTCATGCAATAACATTGCACGACGGGCCTTCCCTATCAAAATAATAAATTCTACTACTAATACTACACTGACAAACGGGACTGAATTTCTACAACTAGCTGGCTAACAACTCTAGCACATCTTGGATGCGCACACCAACAGCCTTCCAACTTACTTTTTACTATTATTATTTTTATTATTTTGCTAGGGTGTTTCCCACAGCCCTATGGTCTTCTTACGGGAGCCCCTAGAAAGGTTAAGCATAATTGAATAAATGTGCGATAATCTGTACAAGAACGAACAGTGGAAGGCAGCATATTCCACTGATCAGAACCTACATGTATGTAGCCAAGACGAGAAAAGCAGCTTTAGTGTAACAGTTCCCTGTTAGCGCTAACCTTATCTGCCCTCTAGCTCTGTATCTTGCACCTTTCCCTATCCTGTCAGCACGCGCGTTATCACCTTAGGGCACGAAGTGCCCTATATCAGTTGTGTTGCCTTGAGCAAGCATTGTCTTTTCCAAGAATACCTTCAAACGGTTACACTGGTAGCGGAGGATGGTTAACATGGTGTTCTTGGAGCTCACCATTGTCGTGGCGATCCTTGTTCTTTCTGTGTTGCTATTCAGGTTGGCCAGCGAGGTCCGTGAAGCCAGTCGCCAAGTCAGCGCCCGTCTGAGCAACCGACAACAACCGCTCCCTGTGCCGCCCGCTCATTCGTCCGGGAAGCCTCGGCACGCTAAGGAGCCGCCGATCTTCGACGGCAAGCCCTCGCAGTTCAAGGAGTGGGCTTTCTCCATTGAGCTGGCGATTCGGTCACTGGGAATCACCGACTCATTGGTGATGGTGGATTACGCAGCGGGCTTCCTGAGCGGCAACGCCAAGCTATGGCTCATCGCATCGTTGGATACGGGTGTGGAGTTCTCGACGTGGCCAGCGCTGCGTGAAGCCCTCGCCAAGGTGTACGGTCCGTTGCATCATCAAGAGCGGGTGCGACTGGATCTCTTCGCTGTCAGGCAGCACTCAAGCTTGGAGAGCTATGTCACCGAGTTCTCGCGCCTAAGCCTACAAGTGCCTGAGATCGACGAGCTGACCCGAGGACTGCTGTTCGTAAATGGACTGCACCCATCTGTCAAGACCCGGGTGCTGCGAGAGCACCCCACTGATCTGAGCCAAGCGATCAGGTCAGCGCAAACGGCGGACCAACAGCCGAACCCGATTCAGAACCGAAGTCAGCCCGTACGACCCCAAAGGCTAACACCGGAGGAGAGGCGTCACCTGAGTCGGCAGGGTGGATGCTTCGCTTGTCGGAAGCCAGGTCACCTAGCTCGGGATTGTCCCAGCAATCAACACCCAAACGCTGGTCGCCAGTGAAAAATGGCGTGCGCTCGCTGGCGACCAAGCGGAAAGCACCCAACGGTTACCCGGTTGACATACGCAACCGTTACAGCGTACTAGAGCTGGAAGAACCGACGCTGCAAGCTGATTCGGAAGATGTTGCCGAACAGGAATCCCATGTCAGCAACGTTGATATCGCAGTACAGGACACGGAGCTTCGTTTGGAGCATGACCTTCTCCGTGTTGAGGGCAGGATCAACGGCCGCCGGGCAATTATGCTTATTGACTCGGGATCGACGCACGACTTCATATCGGAAGCTTTCGTGCAAAGAAACGGCCTTGTTACGGAGAGCAAGGACGAAACACTGAAGGTAACCCTGGCTGATGGCTCATCGACATCATCGGGACTGCAGAGGACCGGTCCGGTAAAGGTTAGCGTGAAAGACTTCAGCGACACCCAATCTTTCACAGTTTTTCCGTTGAGCCGCTATGATGCTATCCTGGGCAAGCCATGGCTGACCAGACACAATCCTGATATCAACTTTCAGACCAATGAAGTCAAACTGAACGGAGAGCCGCTCGTTGCTAAACCCCCTTCCGGCCAAAATAGTGATACGGAGCGTCAGGAGTCGCCGCCAATTGAGAGCATGCTCATATCTGGTTCTCAGGCTCGCCGCGAGTTGAGGAAAGGCGCGCAGGGAATCCTGGCATGGGTCAACGCTACTGACGACGAGGAGGAGGACAGCAAGCCATCAGCCGCCAGACAACACCCAGATCATCAAGAGCAGCTGGCTAACCTTCTGCGGCGGTACTCGGACATCTTTCCAGACGACCTGCCGACCGAGCTTCCGCCAGAGAGGGATGTCGACCATGAGATTGTGACTGAGGAGGGTGCCGTTCCTCCATCACGGGCTGCCTACCGTCTCTCCAAACCCGAGATGGACGAATTGCAAGCCCAGCTCACGGAACTCCTCCGCAAGGGCTTCATCGAACCCAGCAAGTCACCATACGGTGCCCCAGTCTTTTTCGTTAAAAAGTCTGATGGCTCATTGCGCA